GGCCAGAGCAACGCCCGTTACCGCGGTGTCCCCCAGCGCGGCCCCCGTCCGCGTTAGGTGCTGAGGGGGCTTCTTTGGTGTGTGGGGAGCCGCCTCGCCGGGATCGGAGCCCCTTTCGCTCCCCAGCACTCGGCGCCAGGCGGGTTTCCCAGCCCTTGGCAGGAAAGCGGCTCCCAAGCGTCCGTGAGGAAAAGACCCCGTTATTTCTTTTGCTGGCAGGTTGGCTTCCAGCAGCCGTGGACTTGCTCCCTGCTATTTCCCAGCAGTGTTTTTGTTTTTGTCCCTCCCCCCGCGACTGAGCAGATTATCTCTCCTCTGCGCCTTCCGCGTTCGCGCGCTCCAAAAGCCTCGGTTCCCGAGCCGCTCTTGATGCGTGTAGATAAGAGCCCTGAAAATGGGTGTCCGAGGGCCTCATTTCTTGGCCACGGTGTCCGGAGCAGAGACATGAGCTGAGCTGTGCCCCGTGGGTTACAGCATCCCGGTTACTCCTCTCGTCAAGACCTTCTTGCCTGGCTTGCTGTGTAGTAGCTTCTTCTGTGCTGTGTTCAGCTGCTTCTCCAGAGCCTGTTTGAAAAAGGAGGAGAAAAGAAAGAAGAAAAGGGAAAAAATAATCTTGGGGAGCTTGTAGGTCTGCCTACCTTGAGTGTTCAGAGAAGTGTGAGGAAAACTCTAGCTTTCCGAACCCGAAGTTAGGGATTATAAGCAGCCCTGGAGCTCCAAGTGTGCAGCACCTGTAGGTATCCTGGAAAGTGGCTGGATCAAGCTCAGAACTGCTGACTTGGCCCTTTCTTGGGGCAGGAGACGGAGCTGGAGATGTCAGAGTTTTGCAGGGGGAAGTTGCACCAGCCGGAGCTGGACAAGACGTTTGTGCTTGGGAAATCCTTTAGCTAAAGGATCCCTTAGGGGATTTCAGCTCATTTTGTTTTCAGCGGAGCTGCCCAGCCGAAGGGAAGCAGCACCTGGGAAGAGGGTAGAAGCCGGAGCAGACGGGAACACAGCCCTAAATTTAAGGAATCGCTGGATCTCCCAGCTCAGAGCGGTGACCACTCCCATGCACGGCAAGGGATGGTTGGGAGCTGGACTTGGATGAAGTTCTCTCTAGTCCTGCTGCCAGTGTGTACTGGAGGAAGCAAAAGCCTTTCCGATTTGCCTTTTTTGTGTTGCCCGATGGTGCTTCCCCTGCGGAAGCCCAGGGCGCTGGTTCAGTCCCCCTGGGCGTCTGACAGTGCCGTTCTGTGGGAGAGCAGAGGTTCTGTACGAGTCTGGGCAGGCTGGGAGAGCGGCAGAGCCCCGGCGCTGCAGCCAGGGTCGAGCTCGAGCTTGTGGTTGAAGGGCTCTTGTGTTTTGACTTCTGCATGTGCCAGAGGAAGGAAAACCGGGAAGCGCCTTGATCTGCTTTGCATGAAAACTACTCTTTTTTTTTTTTTTTTTTTTTTTTTTTTTCCCCACAACTACACTTCATTATCCAGCTTGCTGCCTCGGCCACAAGTTGGAGAGCGCTATCAATAGCACATTGTTGCCTGGGGGGGGGACGAGGGAGGAGGGCAGGGAATCACAAAGCTGCCAACAGCTTTCTGGGGGTGGGGACCTGCACAGCAAAGTGCTTTGTCATCCTCTCGCCGCTGCCCAACGCACACTGGCCCATTGATACCCCGGCCGGCGGGAGGAAGGACTGTATTAACACGAAACCCAGGGCGTCTGCCCGTGATGCCTTCGGTGCCGCTGCCTCCTGGCCTCTCCTACTGTGTTTAAGGCAGTGTTTCCTACGAGCAGAGCCTGCTGAAGAACATCGGGTCAACCTGGAGGAGGAAGAACGTGGAGGAAGGCTATTGTGCTTTGCACAGAGAGTTCATTGCCGTGCAAGCCAAGATCATAGTATTTAAGTGGCCCGCCTGGGTTTTAATTGCGTCAAAGGGTATTTTTTTGGCGAGGTAAACATTTCGGTGGTTCATTTGCAGACCATGTTCCAGCATACTGGAAGAGGAGGTTCAAATGATTCGGATAGTGTGACTCAGTGCTTAATTTTTTGAGACTTAAGGCTGTGTAGCTCGTGGAGGGGGCAGAAAAAGGGGGAGGACTGGAGCGCGAACCTTCGTCTTGGAGACAACATGCCTGAAAAGGTTTCAGGCAGACAGTAAGTTGTGGGGACTTCCGTGGAGGCTGTCCCTTATAGTCTTGTTCCTCCCTCACTCTGCTTATGAATAAACCTCGCATTCCCCTTGATTTTTCCTTCTGGAATAATTGGTGCTTACTCAGCTTTGCACTGGTGTGTAACTGCAATAGCAGCCATGGGGGCAAAAAAAAAAGGCTGTTTTCTTTGCCTTGCTTTTGCAGGTTTGTTAGGGGAATGCTGCTGCTACACTGTCCTGCAGTGAAGTGGTTTTGTGGGGCTGATAAAAGAAGCAGTGCTCTGGAAGTAAAGTAATAACCCATGAGATCTAAGCAAACTACCAAGCTACTAGGGACATACTTGTTGTTTTCTTGTGTAAAGTCCTTAAAAGTAGATGTTGGGGCAAAGTCTGTGGAGTGAACTCGCGAGATGCGGGCTAGGGCTGAAGGATGGTGTCCGCTGTTTCGTTTGCCTGGGAAAATGTCAGTTCGGATGTGACCAGCCCTTTTGGCTCCTCCTCATTTTGAAAACGTGAAACTTAAACCTCCTCCCTCTGGATCCTGTTGATCTATTTGTAGATATTTGTCTATAGAAAATGCGTGCTCATCTGGTCATGCGTTTCCAGCCATCTGTGCTGGCAGCCCTCCAGGTGTCCCTTATTAGCATGGGGTTGCTCAGCACTCTATTAATTCTCCCCTACAAAGCCCTCTGTTTCAAACAAAACACAATCGATTTTTGACACAACGGCGCTTGGGCTCCAAGTGTTTTTTCCAGGTGCTGCAAAGCTTGGTGGCCAGAAGGAGCGGGAAGACAAATGCTTTGGAGTTGTAGCATCAGAAACGTGAGCCTGCTAATGTAACCTTGTGCTCTCTCTCTTTTTCTTGCAGTAGTATTTTACCTTTGAGTAACTGTCCCCAGCTGCAGTGCTGCAGGCACATTGTTCCCGGGCCTCTGTGGTGCTCCTGATGCCCCTCACCCACTGTCGAAGATCCCCGGTGGGCGAGGGGGTAGCAGGGATCCTTCTCTTTCAGCTCTGATATATAAGGTGAGAACAATTTTAATACCTAGAGTCATCACCTGTGGGTGTACTACAGCCATATTTGCTTCCTTACAGCCATATTTGCTTCCTTTTACAGTCCGGTGGGGATAAACACAAGCTATTCCAAAGTAATTGATGGGGAAATTTGACTTTTTGTCTAAAGATCATCTGTCTGTGGGGGAACAAGAGACTGTTTCTCAAAGGTCTGCAGAGGAGGTAGCTTAAATCTATTGAGAAGCTTGCAAATTTGCCTGTTGAGACAGAAATGTTGTCATAGGTGTTAGACTTGATTTTTAATTATGCTGTGGGAGGCATCCAGACTTTAAATGATAAAAAGATGCAGGCCTTTTCAGGTCACAGTTATGAAAGTCTCCTCCTGCAGTTCTTGTCCGATACTGCTTTTTCCTGCTCTCAGAGTTTTCTTCAGGGCCAGCTCAGTGAATTTTTAGCCTGTACCTAACCTGCTTTACCTTGTGATTACAATATGCGGTTATATAAATGCCAATTTCTCTGCTCTGTGTAGCCTCTTAACACTTGCAGGATTAAAAAAAAAAAAAAAATCATTACATCATCTTAGTGCTACTGCGCTGCATCTTTCGAGGGACAGCAAAACAGCACAGGTTGTCCTTGCTGGACAAGGGAGAGATGGAAGTAGCTTCACGGCAGGCTTCAGCACTTACCACTGTATCCCTTTAGGATGGGAGGGAATGAGGAATAGAGGAGACTCTGACTTTAAAATCTAGCTTGCAAGAGCTAAGGAGCGTCGTATACACCCCGGACAAGACTGAGCAGGAAACAGGTTCGATGTGGAGGAGACACTGCTGGAAAGAATTGTGGTTTGGAGGCTCGGAAGCAGCTGCCTTCATGCTGTGCCCTTCCATTAGCACAGGAGCTGCTGGCAGGGTGCGCGGGCAGGGACTGCTGCCTGTGGAGGAGGCATCTGCAGAGGCATCCCAGGAGCAGGAATGTGGAGTTTATTGCTGACAGGACCTGGTTCGCTACCAGAGGCTGTGAGAGAATTGGCCCCTTCACAAACCTAGCTTGTTTCATTGGGGCGTTTGTGGTGCAAGGAGTTAAAGCCCTAACCTTGGACAGAGATTACAGAGACTTTCTCTGAGAGCCTGGGACTCCCTTTGAGGCTGCAGCTCGGGTTAGCGGTGCTGCAGTTACAGCCAGCTGGGGCTTTTCACACAGCGTGTTTCAGTATGACCTGGAAAGACGGCTAGACCCAAAAACTTAAGTATTTTCCCACTATATGAGCTGTTCTAGCTCAAGAGATGACCCCTGTGTATAAGCCCGCCTCCTCCAGAGCATGCAGCACCCTCCTTGTATCCTACAACATTATAAACGAAGCAGTTGGGGCTTCCTGTGGCTCTTGTTCTGTCGTGTGATACAAGACTCAATGCACAGCCCTTTGTCGAGGGCACTTTATTGCAGAACTGGGAATGAAACTGTGGTCAGAGCTGGTGCTGCACAGCCAGCCCGGGCTTTGACCTGAAGTACGTGCTCTGGCCAGCAAGCTTGGCACGCGCCGCACCTGCGGGCTCCTGCCAGCACTCGCCTGCCTACACGGGGTTCGAGAGTCGCTTGGCTGCAGTGGATCATAACATCCTTCCTCCTGCCGCTGCCAACGGGTAGGGACGTCCCTACTGTCTTCCTCGGGACACTTGAGGAATCTCAATCGGAAAATCTTGTGTGCGCTGCATTGTTACTGAGCGTGGAGGCAGGTCCTTGAGGCTTATATTGAGAGAAATGGAGCCCGAGGCTGGAGAGCTGATGGTTTAGGCAGAAATGAATAAAAGAGCCTGGTGAGTGTTTCTGGCTCTCGAGAGCATGGCAGGGGGGGACTGTGCAGGGGTGAACTAAAACCGAGCATTTGTTGCACAAATAGGATTTTGCTTTGAGCGTGTTCCAAAGAATTCTGGGCTGCTGAATCACAGGAACAGCTTCTCTTCTCAGGATCTCGCTCGCTCTATTTTAACAGAAATAATAATAAAAAAAAAAACCGAGCTGCCGAAGATAGGCAGTGTAAACTTAATTCCCAAAGAACTGGGAGAACTGGTTCTGTTAATCCAGGCAGTTATGCTGTTTTTTGAAGAGAAGGCTATTGCGCTAGGGTTGGTTTTTGGAAGTGAAAGCCTCGCTAGCTTTGGGTGCATGCGAAAGCCTCTGGAAGCCTGTAACTGTTGGTGACAGAGGGGTGAGCTAGAAGACATGGAAAGCTTTTCCCCTCTTGATTCAGCCTTCTGCCAGTCCTTGCGCACGGATGCGCGTCTGCCTCCCCCTCCACTGTGTCAATCCCAGCCTGCTCCTCCCGGCTTCCTAGCTCTGTTTTTTCTTCTTGTGAAGTGTAAGAAAAGAAACATCTGTGAGCTCTTGCTTGAGAGGGGAAGATCTCTTCTGAAATGGAGACCTTCTCAGCACCCTAAAACAAATGTGAAAGGGTCCTCTAAAATCACCAGTAAGAGATGTGTATAAGCCCCCCTCTTTTTTGGTTTGGTTGGTTGGTTTGTTTTTAATATTCTGCGCACTCAGACACGACTGTTATCACTGGCTCAGTTCTGGCCTTATTGGCCACAATCTGATTATTTTTTTTTTTTAAACCTCTCCTCAAGCAGTGGCAGCTAAGGGCCATAGTGCAGTTGGCCTAAAACTGTAATAAATCCCGACAGCAGCCACAGCCATGAGAACTCCTGTCAAACTCGGTGAATAAGCTTGTTTCCCATAGTGTATTCATCCTAATGAAGTGTAAACCTTTCTTTTTTTCAGCAAGGCTATGCTAAGCTTTGTGGGCTTTAAACACAGCTTCACGTGCACAAGCCACCAAGCCAGTTAGTTCCCAGTTTACACGACGAGTTACTTTCTCTCCAATTAAAGTAATTAATGGCTCCTTTCTTGTCACCGGTAAGACAAAAGGGGCTTATTTTAGTACATGTGATGATAATTAAAATACAGGATGCAGACTTGAGAGCCTAGAAGTGTTTTGGCTGAACCATTGGTCTTTCAGTGGTGCTTGTACCTCAGTAGTTTAAAACACCTCAAAGCAACTGTCTGCTTCAGAGAGCAGCAATACTGAGGAGCATCTCCCCACTGATGAGAGTGTATTTGCACCCATATCTTACGGTTGTGAGGAGAAACATTTTATGACAGGATGAACTTAGTGTCCCCTGCAGTTGCTATGTTCATATGGGATATTAAGGACTGTCTTTTTCATTGGTGCTTTTGGCACCCCCAAACAGGATTTCCTTATTTCACTGCCAATTGTCTACAAAAATTGCCAGGAGAAGGAATGGAGCTTAACCACCAAACTCGCCTTGACGAATGGCTAAGCAGGGCTCAGAGGGGAACAACGCGCCTGCCGTTTTAGTCAGGGCAGTGTCAGAACAGGGTGTTTGTGCTTGTGGGCTCTGGAAAAGACCTAGTTGCAGCCCTCGAATCTGTGCAGCTTCAGCCAATTCTGCATTCTGTGCTGTGTGTTTTCCTCCCTCCTATCAGGAGGCAAAACATTTGCTGTAGCAGTTGGTGGTAAAATCGAGGAAAGCAATTTGTGGTCATCTCTGAAAGAGCGTGTGGGGAAAGGGAGGGGAAATGCAGCAGAATGGGTCATGCTATAGTGGCGGCAGATACTGTTCCAACTTGCTGGTTGCAGTTGTTTTCTTTGAAGGGTAGTTCATGAACTGCTTCACAAAGATGTGGCTGAGACTTGTGGTGAATGAATGGACTTTCACTAGCCAGAAGTCTAATATCATGTCAGTGTGCAAAATTGCATTCCCTTGGACTGGAAAAACATGACTGAAAATCACTCTGAGGGTTCATTACTCATTGCGGCGTGTCCTGGAGCCAAAGAAAGGGCAAAGGAAAAGTTTAATGATCTTCTCAGACTTTAACACCATTTTCGTTTGCATTTGGATCTCTTTAACTATACTCCCCTAGCTGTTAGGATTTTACTTTGTCACTCTTTCTTTCCCTATGTTAGGCCAGAATAAAGACAAAGCCTTCTGGAAAATGCAAGTAGCTCAAAGAACTGTAGTTCAGGCCACAAGGCTGATCCCAGCTTTTCAGCAAGGGCTTTCCATTGGAAAGGCCTTGGAAAATCTCTTTGCGTGTGCACACAGGCACAGGCTCTTGATGCCTTTTGGTCTGCAATGGGACAGCATGGTGCTCCTGACTCCTCCCAGCTCCTGGCACTTCATAAACCTTAATGAAGGGCAGCTTTTAGAATTGGCTTGGACACTTGCTTCAAAACAAAAGTGTGTTTGGTTTACAAGCCTACCTGAGTGGAGCTGGGAACCCTAAATATGTTGTTTGATTATTATAAAAAAATATATAAGGCTCAGAGCACAGTGGGAAAAACACTCTTTGACCTGTTTTGTACCTAATACATTTAAGGACATTAAATGCACGTTTTAAGGCCCATTTTAAGGTTCACATTTCTGAACGGGTTGCTGTAAAATCTTTTGGTCCCAGGCTTGCAGGCCTAAGGTGACCTGGTGCTGAAGGGCACTGAAATGCTAGAGCCTAATTCACCAAAAAGAAAAAATTGGTTTTGTCTTGTTTTTGCTTTTCTCCCTGTCTTCTCCGCGACATGCAGGACGAGAAGATCACTGTTAACCAAGATGTCCCAGTGCACGAAGGGAAGCCTCATATTGTCCACTTCCAGTACAAGGTCACGGAGGTGAAGACCTCCTCCTGGGATGCGGTGCTCTCTAATCAGAGCCTCTTTGTGGAAATCCCGGATGGATTATTAGCCGATGGAAGCAAAGAAGGGTAAGTCCAGCATCTCAGAGCCGTGTCCACAGCTCCTCCTCCTCCTCTTGTTTCTCCATATACCTTTTTTCCCTTAGATGATCCTTTAAGACAGGCTGCTGTTTCCAGACTGTTTTCTTAAGCTAATGAGGAAGAAGTGCTGAATGAGTGGGGCGATTCTTTGCATGCTTTGGTGTGCAGAACCTACAAGCCCTTCTCCGGTTTTGTTCTACCGGCTGTTTGGCAAAGCTCTTTGGCAAGTATATATTTTTTCCCCTCTCTTTCAGGGGGAAGCCTCATTATATTGATGTGCTCCTTCTCATCAGTAGGTGGATCTGCTCTTGGACCACCGCCACGCGGGCTTTTGGCTGTGCCAGAGCCTGCTTTTTCTCTCTTGGCAGAAGACGATAGTGTTTTGTCCAGACAGCTCTGCTCAGAGAAGTTTGTGTAAATGCAGCTTCCAGAGCAGTTCCTTCCTGCCAAATGCCTTGCCAGAAATCCCTGCTGGCAGGGAACACGGTCGTATGGATGTGGCTTCAGCAGAGTTCGATGCAGAGCTCGCCGAGGTCCTTCTGAACGCTGAAATAAACTTCATGGCGTTACATGACACAAGCCAATTATGTCAAAATCTCCCTGGAAACCTTCAGCGAGCGCCCGTGTTGCCGCTGTCTCGCCCTTGTCTCATTTGATTCCGAATCCATCAACGTTTTGTAGGCTTTCTGCCGTCAGCCCACAAATCCCCTAGCTGTCCCAATGCCTGTTCTCCTAGGAGCAGATCCTCCCGGGAGGATATTTACCCTCTCCATGTCATCATGACTTCAAGTATATTATGAGCTTATTTTTAGCTGGGCAAAACAGCCTAGTAGAGGCTATAATTAAAATAGTTCATTATCATATTAACCAAATCCTTGCAAATTTAATCTCCCTCGGTGCATGCCCGTCTCGCTGACTGCTGTTTAATCAGATCTCGATTGAAGTCCTGCTTGTCGCGGCTGTAGCGGCGCACAGCAAAAATGCCACAAGGGCAGGGGTGGCAGGGGCAGCTGAGCCCGGCGCTCGCACAGGGGCTGGGGCAGCTCTGCTGCTGTGAAGGGCTGGCAGAAACACCCCTGCTGGCACAGAAGCCTGGATTCGTGGGGTGGCTTTTAGCTGTGCAGTGTCCCCAGGCCACTCTGCCTGTGCTCGCGCTCCTTCAGTGCTGTTTTTCTTTTCTGCCTCGCACTAGCCCTCTGTTTCACAAGATACAAAGCGCGCAGAGCCCTTAGGGTGTGTGTGTGACCGCGGGATGGAGCCTGGCCCCAAAAGAGCTGCGGTCTTTAGCTGCCCAGGCGCACCAAGAAGCGCCCGCCTCGCGGGCTGGGTGTCCGTGCGTGCCGGCACGCGGGCGCCCGGGGACGCGGCCGCGCTCCGCGTCTCTGCCAGGACAGCTCCGTTCCGCAGCGCTGCAGCGCGAGGCAGGAAGCCCATTGTTTCAGCAGCCATTGTTTCTGTAAGATGGGATTTGTGTCTGTAAACAAGGAATCTTTCTGTCTTAAACATCCCGACGGTTGAGAGTGGCCAGGGGCTTCCTTAGGACAGGACTTCCTGTAGCTGATGTTCTTTTGTCTTCCTCCTTGGCAGGCTATCAGCACTGCTGGAATTTGCTGAAGAAAAAATGAAAGTAAACTACGTCTTTATTTGCTTCAGAAAAAGCAGAGAAGACAGAGGTGAGAGCTCCTACTGTGAGTTTTTTCTCCCTTGAACTAAAGTGACACTACTAAACGTGTCCCAACATCTGGTAAACTCAAGACAGGGCTTCACAGCAAGCGTCCTATTGCACTCATTGTGTGGCATGCCTAATTTCTATTCGTTTTTCCCCTTACACATTAGAAAATGTTCCCCAAAGAAGAAATAACGTATCCACATAAATAACTTACCCACATTATCCACAACTTATCTGTATGTGGATAGTTCCCGTGGGACTAAGGGAAAGAGAATATTTAGTTTCTCCAGCTGGACTTTGCTGTCCTGCAGTTCATCTCCCCTGAGAAAAGCTGTTCTTGGGTAATTGGCCAGAAATCCATTAATATTCCTTAGGTAAGGGGTGAGCGTATCCTTTTGGCATCAGGCTTGTGTGATTTGGAAGGGGAGACCGGGGAGAGGTGACGACCCGGGAACTAAACTGTTCTAACTCATTGCTCTGATGCTCATCTGCTTTCTTTAAAAAGATCCTCCAGCACTTTTGCCCTTCCTAGACTTACAGGTAATCCTGACTATAAATGCCAGTGGCTTAAGGGGGCTGCATTAGTAACTAAAGATAGATGTGGTGGATGAGTGATTAGAGGATGGAAGTTTGAGGAGATTTGTGGCAAGGTACCAAGCTACAGAGGTGTCACTTTACTGTGTGCAGGCCAGTCATCAAGTGATGGCCGTGGTGGGAGGAACTCAAACCTTAATTCTGATTTTCCTCTACTGCTTCATGAGCAGCACTGTCTTGTCCTCAGCTGGAGCAGTGCTTTTGGAACTAAGTTGCACTGCACCTTGTTACACCCCACATTATGGTATTGAGGATGGCCTTCGGATGGAGAAAAAGCACTTGTGAATAGGAGCTCATCCACATGACACCTCAGTGCTCTGAGCGTGAGCGTTGGTGGGTGCTGTGAGGATTGGATATTGTTCCAGAGAAACTCACGTTGGTCATAGAGGAGCGACAACTTAGCAACGAGGGGCCGAGCATCCGGTCAATGTGTAACAGGTCCTGTCTTGGTTGGATGAGTTGGAGCTTCTGGATTATGAACATGGAGCAATCTCATCCTCTTTAGAGGTTAAAATCCCCTTGACACCTAGAAGCAACCCCAAAGAGTGAGGCAGGAGATGGGATGTCTAGAGGAATGTTGGGTTACATGGTTTCTTTGGGCAGTCCAGGAAGTTCTGGACATGCTGCTGGCTCACAGGCACGTTTAATGTCCTTGTACTTGGAGGTTAATGACTTTGAGGGTAAAGAGCAACGTTCCCGATGGTAACGGTTTCCTTCTCTTTGGTAGCTCCGCTCCTGAAGACATTCAGCTTCTTGGGCTTTGAAATCGTGAGGCCTGGACACCCTTCTGTCCCGTCGCGACCAGACGTGATGTTCATGGTGTACCCCCTGGATCAGAACTCTTCCTCTGATGAAGAATAGCTGCCGCGGGGGACTTCAGGTGGAGCTGGAGATGCTTTGGAGGGCAGAGAGGGTTACCTCCCCTTCCCTGAGGAAGGGGAAAGCAAGCTTCTGTCGGACTGAAACTGCATTTCTCATTGTTAGATTGGCCTGTGTATCCTCCGAGTTGACTATCTCATTGAAATGTGTTGCCTAGAGAACTATATATACACACATGTAATCACCAAATAGTAAACGGAAGATGTTTATGAACTGGCATAGGAGCTCTTTCCGTGCAGCGTGTGGTGTGGTAGCCTAGGGGCGCGGGGCAGCGCCGGGAAGCGCAGCGGTAGGCGCAGCATCAACTCCTTGACTTCTCTACATCAGTGTTGGCTCTTCCCTCATCACCTGGCGTGTGGTGTGCGCTCATCTGACCGACTACCTTTTTCTTTTTCTTTTTTTTTTTTTAATTTTCACTCAGACTCTTAAGTGCAAGGCATGTTGGGGGCGTTGGGCGCACGGAGGAGACGTGCTCGAGTTAACTTTTAACACTACACCAAAGCCCCAGCGCGTCTCTGCTCCGGGGTAACCGATGCTGTATAACTGGTTTATTATTATTATTATTACTCTTTTTTAAAAGAACTTTCTTGCTCTTCCAGCTTTTGTTGAAGCAGTCTTACTCTGTTCCATGTTACCACTGCACTATCACAGCATTCAATAAAAGGGGCATTTGGATGAACTTCACACAGCTGGGGCTGCTCATTTTAAAAGGAAAGGAGCCTTTTTTGGCTTCCCTTCATGCTGCAATGGGTCTCCACTTGCAGAGGGGCAGCTGAGTGTCCCTGGAAGACCCCTTCATGTGGGGGTCGGTCCTGGCTAAGCAGTTAGGATGGTTTTGATGGTCCATGGAGCCTAAAAATCTCTCCCGTTCAGCCTCTTCCCGAGGCCCCGTAAGGAGCAGCTCCTTGGCTGCTGTCGCACCTCTCTGTTCCTCTGCGCCTTTCCAAAGGGATCTCATCCCACAGAGCTGACAGTTGTATCCAAGCCAGGGGCATGGAGTGGGAACAGAGGCCACATGTACGGATTGTGGGAAGCTTCTCCCGACCCTGGGATCTCCCAGAGGGGACTGTAGGGATAGGATGGGATGGGGGTGTTGCTCGCTGTAGCTCACGTCTCCCCTGCTAATGCTGGCGAGTGAGGCCGTGCTCTTGTCTGCGTGTAACCTGGCTGGCTTTCGGCGAAGGCCCCGGAGAAGCGCGTGTTTACAAACCGCGTGCCAGGGACCAGTCGTGAGCTCTCCTCCTGGCCTGGCTGCTTGGCCTGGCATTGTCCTCGCGTGCTTCGTGCCGCTCTCCGGGCAAGGCGTTGGTTAAAAGCTGCCGAGGAGCCAGTCCATAAAGGCCACGCGTGGTGCGTTCCATCTGCGGGGAGAGGTGGGGCCGGGAGGCCGAGTCTGTGTGAATAAATCCTGCTTGAAGTTTGTGTCTCTCTCTCCTCTTTCCCTCCAGCAGAATGAACGCGGCGCAGAGCAGGGACATGAGGAGGACGTGCACAGCCCCGGGGCCAAAGGGGCTGTTCTGCCCCGGCCTCCCAGGCTGAGTGGCTCAGCCCCCTCCAGTGTCCAATTCTCAGCCAAGGAGGGCTTTAACGCTTGTTTTCTGCTCCTGCCACCTCTGTCCTTTGGGGCCGAAGCTGTGAACTAGGCTAAGAGGAGCTGCCTAAAACTGCAGGCCGAGTTGTAGCGCTGGGAGCGGCTCTGCCCGGGCCGCGCTGGGGCTCCGTGCCGGGGCTGGCTCCGCAGCGAGGCCCCTTCCGTCCTTGCAGTGCAAGTGGCAGCGTCCCACCGTGTTCCCTTGTCACAGAGCACTCGTGTCCCTCTAGCATTCCCGCCGTGGAGGGGTGAGAGAACCAGCAGGGCTCCTGCCCTGGGTTTGCTGGGGCCTCCCCAGGCCCTTCCGCAGGCTTGGGGCTCTTGTCCTGCCGTGGGGTCTCCTTTCCTGCCTCGCGCTGGGCTCAGTGGCAGGGCTGCTGAATAAAGTGCGTGTGCTCCTCTGCTAGCAACCAGCTGCTGTGGTGGGCGTCCCGCTGTGTCAAAGCGCAGGGACTTCCCTGGATCGCACCCTCAGCTCGGGGAGTGCACCCAAGTGTCCTCAGCAGGGTTCAGAGCACCCGGGCTGCCTTGCGCAGCTGGGCAGGAGCGGCTTTGTGGGGCCCCAGCACAGGCGGTGGGAGCTGCTGGGATCAGGATGGGGGCAGGGGAGGTGATGGGGTCCCACGGGTGCTCTCGGAGAGGTGGGTGGCACTGCAGGGACCTGCCCCCGCCTTGCAGGGGGACAATGTGGGCCAGGGGCACCAGCGCAACGGCCGGAGCTGCTCTGTGCCCCAGCCCGTCCCCTCACGTAATTTGTGCCTGTTAAAACCTTAATTACTCCAGTTCCCTCTCGGCCACTGATCTTTCCACCCTTAACCGCTTATCCCTTTAACTGCATTTCCAGGGCTTTAAACAGCCGCGCAGGGCCCCAGCAGCAGGTCAGGGAGAGGTGCCCGTGAGAGCGGCGACCGGCTCCTCGGAGGAAAAATCCATGGACGCCTCCGCAGCCCAGGCGCCGAGGGGTCGGGCGGGAGAAGCATCCCAGCCACGAGGAGCGGGCTGCGGCCGCGCGCGCGCCCGGGCTGTCCCCGCGCCGGGGCGCGGGGTGCAGCTGCTGGGGGGCGGCTGGAGGAGCGGCGTGAGGGAGAGCAGCGACAGGAAGAAAACGCCACCCTCGCAGGTTTGTGATTGTCTCTTAAAAAGATTTATTCTCTCTCCTTGCCCAAACGTACAAAGGCAAGAAGAGTACAGTTTGTATATATATATATTTATATATATATATATATAAAAAAAAAACAAGGAACTCGGTATTAATGTACACTTTACAGAAGGGGAAGATTCAGGAAGACTCAAATGAAACCCAACACAGCAACTCCAATGGAAACAAGAGCTATGAACAGCAACGCTTGGTGTCCCACAGGCCTCGCGCTCACGGGGCCGGCGGCGCCTGGGGACGGGCGCGGGGCTCGGCCCGTGTTTGGGGTCGGGATCCCATGGGGACATGGTGGGCAGGGCATTGGGGGGAAATTGGGTGAATTTCAAACCTATTTGGTTTAACCCGTGGTGACGCTAACCCCTAAAGGACGGAGCTGCTGAGGCCACAGTGCCGGTTGCTCCTCTGGGCTTGCAGGACCCAGTTCCCCCCACTGCCCCCTGCGGCCACCTCAGCTCTGAGACCTCCTCCTCCTCCTCCTCCTCCCCAAAGAGAGGCAGAGCTGGAGCCCCGGCCTGCTGCCCAGGAGCAGCCCAGGATGGAGGTGGGAACAGCCTTAAGGAGGCCTTGGTAGGTGCCTGGGAAGGCGCTGCGGCTGCGAGGGGCCGGTCCCCAGGCTGCTCTCCACGCGGCCCTGTCCCGCGCGAGGCCGGGGAGGGGACCAAGGCCAAGGCGAGCGCAGAGGCCTCGAGCAGAGCGGGCCGGGCCCCGCCTGACAGGGCACGGAGAGGGGACATAGGGATGAGGGGGAAGAAAAAACAAAACCCGAAACCAACAGCTTTCAAACGATTGCTTTTTACAGTATGTACAGAGCCCAGCGGGCAGCGCGTGCCGGTACAGCGTCCCGGGGGCCGGGTGTGACACACACTCACACGAGAGCGACCGCTGCGGCCCCACGGCAGCCCCCATCGTGGCCGGGCCCGCGCGTCCTGCCGCGCTCCCCGGCCCGAGGGGACGAGCCGGCCGCAGGGACGGGGCAGCTGCTCCAGCCCCGAGTAAGAGCAGCCCGGTAGCCCCAGAGGGGGACATGGGGGCCGGTCAGGAATGGGGTGTGTGGTGTCGTTCCCCCCCAGCACCGAGGACCCGCTGCCCGTGAGGCTCCGCATGCCCCAGGGTGCCAGCGCCTCGCTGGGCTCTGCCCCCGGCCCACGCGAGGCTGCTGCGAAGCAGAGGGCGGACGTGCCAGGGAGCCCAGCGGGATGACGCGATCCCGGAGCCGGCGGGGACAGAGCCTGGGGAAGGAGCTTCCGCGGGCTCGGCCCGTACGGGAGGGCTGACGGGCACAGCCCGCGGCGGGCCCGGCTCCGCCGCACCCGTCCCGGCGCTGGGCCGGAGCTGCCCAGCGCATCCAAACGGCCCCGCCAGCCGGCCCGGAGGAGAAGCCGCCACAGCCGGGCCAAGAGCAGCTCCCCGGCCCGGCCTCCTGCAAAGCCAGAGGACACGGCAGGGGAGAGCGGCGGGACACAGGGGCTGCCCTCGATGGCCGCGGGCCCTCAGGCCTGGTACAGGGGCAGCCTGAGGATTCGGGATGGCTACGAGGCCACGCGAGCTCACGGGCACCGCTCGACCTGCTGCGCGCGTCTCTGCCCACATCAGCGCCCATCGACGCGCCCCACGGCGCCGGCTGCCCCGTCGGCACCAGCGTCTCCGGCACCCACCTTGGCTCCGCGCGGCCGCACCACGACGACGACGAGCAGCCACGAGGCTCTTTCCTGACACGGCGCCTCTGCTCGCGGCTCCAAGCTGGCACTTCGACCCTAGCGAGGAGTGCCCGGGAGGCGGGAGGCAGCGCCCGGCCTGCACCGCCTGCCACCCCCAAGTCCCAGGATGCTCCGACCTGTCGCGAAGCAGCGGCTCACAGAGACATGGTGGCGGGGACGGGGGGGGACCTCAAAGCCATCAAGAAACCTCAGTGCTTCCGTTTCCTCTTCATGTGCACCAGGCAGGCGGTTCTCTTCCCTCCCGAGCGCCGGTGCCCAGTAGAATAAATATTTCTGTAGGTACCAGCTTGCCCGCTCACCAGAGGGAGGGATGCAGAGGGGGGCTTCGGTGTGTGTCCGACAGGGGAGAAGACAGAGTCTGCCTCAGATTACGGCAGGAACGTCAAGCAGAACAATTAACACCATTCAACTGATGTCTAAAGGAGTCTCCAGCGCGTCCTCATGTGAGCCAGTCACATGTCTCGTACAGCCCGGGCATCCCAGCGCTCACGTCCTGCGGAGAGCCCAGGGCAGAGTCAGCTGCGGCAGCCGGGAGCCCCCGCCGCGAGGCCCGGGGCCGTCGGCAACCGGCGGGCACAGGGCCGCGCTCCACAGGTGGCCTCCAGAGGCTGGGTGAGCACAAGCTCTGCTCTCGGGGCTGCTCTTCGGCCTCCAGACAGCGCCGGAGCCTCCCTGTTGGGCCGCGGGTGCCCACCCCAAGCAGCTGGAGCGCTGTGCGCGCGCGCAGCCGCGCCGGTGCCGCGGGCCTTACCGGTCTCACCTCCGGGGCGGTGGGTATAGGGAGGGAGCGGAGCCCTGCTGGCTGGCAACGATGGCTGTGGAGGAGAGACCTGCGGGGAGAAGCAACGTCAGGAGCTGGGCCCTGAGCTTGGCCACTGGCCTTGCGCTTGGGGCACCTGCACATCCAGATCAAATCCATCCTGA